ATCTGGTGGTAGAAGACTGTCCATCCTATGGTAGTTTTGACCATTAAGCCTGTATATGTATGGTACATTTCCACTATTAATGGAAGAATCAATTCTGCCACCCATTGATGTAAATGAGAACATTGAATTATAACGACGAATGTTCTTCATAAAGTATTTGCTTTTGGAGTCCTCACAACGAAACAGGTTTACGTAACCAACAGCCATCTCTTTCTCTTTTGGAAGCTGAACTTTGCCATAAAGAAAACAAAGAGAGTAACTTGTTTTCATCCCGTATTTTTTCCCTCGAAACGCTTCATCTCTCCATAGTTTTGCAACAAAACATTCACAAATAACACTTTCATCACCATGATCCAATTACTCTGTTTAATAAATTTGAAACGAATAAGTAACTGTAAGTGTTAAACACTTGATTAATCAATAGTTACCTTCATATATTCCTGCAATTATGTTTGTGACGTCCGTCATTTTTGGAGCGTCAGCTTAGCACCTCTATAGGGTTTCTATATTTAGAATTATATTTTATTAGGGTCTAGTCATGTTGATTAGAATTCAACTGGCTTAGTTCCCAAAATATAGTTCAGAAAACCTTGTTTCGATGTGTAACTGATAAAGTTAATTTATGTAATGCCAAATATATTAAAAATGCTCCAATATAATAAAGTTGATATTATAAAGTCCAAATTAAAATATAAAAGTCTCATTTGAATGTCCAAATAATTTTACCAAAAAGGTGGAACTTTGAGTTAATGATGATATTTTATTAATATTTGACAAATTATATTTTAGTTATAATTTAAATGGGCTTTATTTTGTTTAAAAGAAAAATAATTTTTTTTATGGACTTGGGTCTTAAGAGGCCGGCCCTTTTATTCACATTTAAAACTCACATATAAATACCCCACATTCTTTGAAAACTCACATTTTTAATCCTCATTTTGCATAAACCTTTCCTCTCCCTAACCTCTCTCTCTCTAAACCATACCTCTCCAGCCGATTGCATCTTCAAGCATCATTAAAAGTCCGTCAATCTTGAAGAATATTCAAAATTTCAAGAAAAAGGTAATAGACTAGTTATGTTACCTTTATATAATAACAAAAATTCTTATTTTGTACATCTACTTTTCGGCATTGTAATTAAAGTTTCTGGAGAATTCAAAAGGGGAGATTATACATCAAAGACATGAAAATGTCTTCCAAATGATTATAATCTATGATCCACGAACTTTGAACTCTAAGAAAGTAGGAGAAAACCACATTGCATGTGGAATTTAATCATGAAAAATGTATTTTGAAAGCTGATAGATTCTGTTAGCACTTGTGTCGACTGTATCTTTTAAAATATAAGTTCAAATGTTCTGATTTTTCTTCTAAAACATACTTTGATGAGTTATCTTTCTAATGCAACTGGTCTCACTAAAAAATATTACGTTTTGAGCTTTCAAGTTCTTGATACAAGATTATGGTGCAAAAAGAGCATTGCTGACAGAATCTTGCATGCATCTTAAATCGGTCATATCTTCTTCAAAACTCATTGAAAATGGGTGATTTTTCTTCTGGAAGTTAGCCTTATGTGTGAGATTTAAAATAAAGGTAAAATCACTGAAAAATGATAAGTTTAGACCCCCCAAATGACCATCACTCGAAGAGTGTACAATCTATCTTGGGGACTGTGTCACTCAAAGTTGTAGGGTATTAATGAGTGCCTTAAACCCATCCAAAATTCTTGATATTTGGGAAAAATCTGTTTAACTCATTATTATTGTTGATATAAAAATTTGGACACAAAATGACATTTGAAAGGTTCCTTTTGATAGTAACTTGTGAGACCAAAAATTTCAGAAACAAAATTTACATTATGTCCAAATGGCAGCTTTACGTACAAAGGACTTTGATTTTAAAATATATATTTCTGGTCTATTTCAAAGAGCAAATGGCATAAGTATCAACTTGAAATCATGAAAACTCAATGGCATTACATAAGACTTACTTAACTTTATCTTTATCGAGAACCCATAGGTGATCTAATTTCTGGATGTTGGACTGTTTAGGAAGGTTAGGGCGGACGTTTAGCGCTTCAAACGTCGTAAAGTTCTTGGATATTCATCAGCAAACTTGTGAGTATTCACGACCCCATTTTTAATGCTTTTTGTTTATTTAAACTGGGGGAAAAAGCATGAAGTTATGCAAACTATACTGTTTATTTATTAAACTGTTGGACTAAAGAACTGTTTAGTCAAGATTTGTTTAAAACTGTTGGACTAAANAACTGTTTAGTCAAGATTTGTTTATGTCATGAAATATTAACAGTTTTGCATTATGATATAAATGTTAAATTGATGTACTTGAGAGTATGTTCCAAATAAAGTCCTCGTCCGTAAATGCTACTTTTTAACTCGGGCATGTCCCCGGGCCGTGGTAATTGTGGATAGCCGCTAGTGTGTTGACAGTCCCACCCAGAAAGGGGTGCACATTACCTATGTTTTTATTAGTCTAATCATGTGGAATTTGGACCACCGCTGAATTAGTACTACTACGAACTGTGGGACCTAAGTGAGTGTACGGGCTACTTATGGTCGTTCGTAAAATAATGGGGCACATTGGTCAGGAAAGGCTTAGTAGCGTCTCAAGTTTTTAAACATCGTGGTAGATTTACATTTATTATGTGCAAAAGCTTATGTATAAGTTTGCAAGTAAATGATTTATGCATTGTAATGTTTTGTGCATATGAAAACCCGTGAACTCACCAACTCTTTGTAGTTGACGTTGTTTTATGTTCATGCTTTTCAGGATTTAAGTAAGAAATGAAGTTTTGGAGCATATATGTGACGACACCGATTAAGTTCATTTTGAAGTTTTTGTAAAGAAGTATTCTATTCCAACTTGGTTATTCATGTTGAATTCGAAATTTTTGTAAAACTTGAATGGCGTTATTTAATATCTGCTGCTGTGACTCGCTTACCTGTTACATCTCGTGTTTCCGCTTTAACATGGTGTGACAATGTTTGTAGTTGTGACTGGATCAACCAATTCTTCATACAATGTAATATCAATTATTGGTATATCAGATACATTTACAGTCCTTCTTTGTAATCTATGATGCCCTGCTGATAACCGAACCATAGAAGAAGCTTGCTCTGTTGTTGATGAAGGCATTGATGAATTAGTGTTAGAACGTAACCAGTAGTGTCTGTTTACATGAAGACTTGTTGTTTGAAATATACAAATTTACTTAATATAAAACATGTGTTAGCATAGAAATTGTATTGGAATCATTACTTTAAAAATGAGGTGTATACGAGATTACACATACCATTAGAACTATCAGATAATGGATTTCTGATAGTCACATTTGAAGAAGAATGTTCAATGCTTGTATGTTCATATTGTGGATGTGTTTGGATCCATATTCTTACTATGGTAGGGAATATTATTCCTCTGACATAAAGATCTTAATCGCCTATCAGAATTTGGGATATTATCTGTGAAAAGAAAGAGGAAAGTATAATTATGAAAAAGTGCCTTCAACAAAATTTGTGAACAGATAATATTTGTCTCATTCAAAATCGAATTCAAAATGCTGTTGAATCAGATACCTTCAACATTTGATGATGTAGACTTCAATGATTGTATACTACTATTCAAAACAGTCTTTCTAAATTTTCTCCTTTCTCTAGCATCCATGGAATTTATTTTTTGAAAGATCTGCAAGAAAATAAATCCTTCAATAAGAAAGCAGTGCATGAAGTCATTACATAGTAAAACATTAGTATGAACAATAATGAGAAAATGGACTCACTTAGTCAGTTGTGTTTAGGAATTCGATTTTTATTGTAGTAGGAGACGGAAGTTGTCTGTGATGAGAATAATTTTATAAGAAGCAAATGCTTAACCAGATGAGGCGGTTATAGAAATCGTAAATTAAAGGTGTAAATACAACGTAAGTTAAGAAACTGCTTGTAAGTTTTTTTCCCAGGTTAGTCTTGCAGAGTTATGTACCAGATTTTCGAGTCAGAGTTAATGAGCAGGGCATAAAAAAGTTTAGTGTTTCATGCAAAGCGTCACCCCACACACAGAGTCTTAGACGTATCTAGACACTATTTTCACTTATGGTTCCAATAGATCTATTTGTCGTGGTTAAATTGATGTTCTAGACGAAGTAAAAATCTTTGATCTATTCCATGTAGTCACTAAGTCTAGAGTCCTCTTTTCCAGACTTATAAATCTGAATGTAAAGTTTGAACTTATATCCTCTTGTCAACATTCATAATTGTCTGACAGACTTACAAGGAATACCGACATAAAAGTCTGAGAACAAGTCTGAACTCTTTCTCCCAGTTAAAATTCGTAGTTGTCTTCGATATTTATGATGTTTACATGGATCAACGAATAAATCCCATTACACTTAAATGGCATTAGTGATACAAATCAACAACATGAAAGGCATTAGATATTTCTTATTTATCACACTAAGAATATAACTCTGAGTTATTCTATGATAAATTTATTTCTGTTGTTTATTTCCAGATTTTGAATGCAACACTGAACTCCTCTTCGGAGTTACTTTTCTGAGTTCTAAGAAAGTACGATTCTTGTGCTTCAGAGTTATGCTCCTGCATACTTCCCATATTTAGAAGGCTACTCTGAATTCCCGTCATTTAGAGTTAAGCCAATAGTTATTTTCCAGGCTAACACCAGAACTGTCATTTCTTGTGTTTCAGAGTTAATGTTCAAATTTTTCTTTAAGACTTGAGAAAAAGTCTCAACTTACTTTTCTCATTTAAAATACCTCGTGTAATATACGGGTCAAACCTTTTCGTGACCCATATATATTTTGTAAAAAAAACATCGTATACAAATGGTTGAAAAACAAAATAAAAATAATCAGCCAAACCAATAAATGTTAATCAAAAGTATGCATTAAGACAATACTAACAAATTAAGACAATAGTAATCAATTAAACAGCTCCAACAACTAACTAAAACAAGTTCGGTGCATTTTAGGAAAGCCATGAATCTAAAGTACTATCTGAAATATCTTCAAAGTAGTTCTCTATTTGTAAAGTTGAGGAAGATCCACATCCAGTATCAGGAATGAAGTCATCAACAAATGATATTGTTCCAAAATCATCAAATCTATTCGGGTCTATATACCCGAAATCATCATGCATGTTAAAAGATGGAAATTCATCACTAAATTCTATCAGGTCAAATGATTGGTAATCAAAAGGTGGTGCATCCACAAATGGAAGCTTGTGCGACTTTAGGTTGGAATGATGGTTGGACATTGATGTAACATTCACCGGCGTTGGGTTTTCCAAAACCGTCGGCATGACGAAATTTGTAACAGCACCAAGACCATGAAGTTTAATGGCAACATTATCATACACCCTGGCAGCCTCCTCCACCGTATCATATGTCACCAACCACAACCGGTGGCATGTAGCCGGATCCATAATCTCTGCTACCCACCTACCCCAAGGTCTTTGTCGGACTCCTCCGAACTTCCTAACGTTACCCGCCGAATTTCTCTTCTTCTTCATAGCTTTCTGTTTCGCTTCTAGAGCAGATGGGCTGTTTCTGGTTACTGTCATCTTCCTATTGACCGGCATCATTTTAGTTTTGCATGATTTTTGTATGTTAATTTCATTGACATACTTCTTCACAAACCACCGTCCGAAATGCTCTTCATCTTCATCTCCTGAAGAATCAGTTGCATAGAGATCGGTCATTGATATCCTCATAAGTCTTGGGCATGGTGACTTTTCTTGGTTGGAAAACTTATCTGTCATGGCCGGAACCTCCATTGTTATACTCCTTTTGTGCTCCGTTTGTTTGATCGGAGGTAACATGAAGCAACCGTCCATGAATCTCTGGTTTGCGGTAACAAAGGAATAGAGAAGTTCAAAAGTCGAAAATGGATGAGAGGTGAGGAGAAGGAAATTTTTTTATTTCTTCAATAACCAAATTTGAAAAAACTATAAATTGATTTAAAACTTTAGGATGTCATTTCAACCGTCAGTTTTAATTTTTTTTATAATAAATATTATGTCCTTTATGGTTTCCAATAAATTTTTACACTACACCCGAGTCTCATTTTTTTGTGCCTATTTGCAGATTAAACTTAGATGAAACAATATTAGGGTTTAAACGAAGAAGAAGACGAAGACAATGGTCTCTTCAGAGAAGAAAACAAGTAGTGGTTTGTGAGGGATATTGCCTGGTTCGATTCAATCACTCTCTTTCTTATGATTTTGAAAAAAAGGGTGATTGCACCGGACTAGGCTTCATTCCTTTCAAACCTTTTTGTAATAATCAGATGGCTAATAAGGTATTACCGGAGGAGTTACTATGAGTATATACAATGTTTAATGTCTATATGTTCTTGATTTCTTTAACTCTGTCCAACTTTCCTTTTTAGTGTACTTTTGAGTAGCTTTAATTTGACAGGGTTTTAGAAACCGAAGGAAAGGGTTGTATAATTTGTTAATAGCACTTTAAATATATTCATCTTATTTTGGAACAAATTTTACATATGACCTTGTTTTTATGCATAAAAATTTAAAAGTGTTATACTCTGTTCATTCAAATACCATCCTCAGATGCATCCTTCAAAACCTTTCATCATTAGATTCTTCATAGCCTTTTCCGCACAAACAGTGTTTTGCTGAATCTTGTTTCGATTTGCAATTAGTACTTGTATTATATACATGTTCAGATAGCATTTTTTACTTATGAGGAAAACCTAAACGTAATATAAATGATATATTTATATTGATTTATAAAATTATCAGCTAAAATAACCCATGTCATTACCATGTTAAGCAAAGGATGCCGTTTCATGTTCAAGTGTGGAATTCAGACTGTTAACTATTAATTGTAGAAGACCATAAATAATAAGTACTTGGAAAACCATGTTGCATATTTCAACTTTCTACATTAACATATTTCCAAATACTACAAACTATGAAAACCAATGTCATAACAGAAGTATAAGTTGGAGAAAAGGTATTGGAGTTTTATTCTAAGGCTGACAAATAACTACAAAATATAATGTTGGTCCCATAAGGGTCTACAAGAATAGAAACAGTTTGTAGAAGGGGGGGATGAATAAAAACACAGTATTTTCAAATTTAAAATATATATTGACAGAGAAGATCAATACAGATTTTACAACACTGTTTGCGGAAAGATAAGGTAAAGAAGACCTATCTAAACAGTCTTTGGTTACACACAGATCTTTAGCAATTACAAGAAAAGAGATTGCTAAAAAGAAGATGTTTTACTTAAGTTAAAAGAGGCTTGAAGTAAGAAAAGGATTGCAGAGAGATGCGCGCACTCTACAAAGAGAAGAAACACTTCTATTTTTACCCAGTGCATTAAATGAACATTTAATGCAATATGGTAGGCTTAGAGTGCGTGGCAAGCCTTAAGAGGAAGGCTTGTCCTTTGCTACAGTGAATAGTACAAAAGCACTATTCTTGAGCAGACATCCTTGCCTAAAGTTGGTGGACAAAGAGTCGACTAATCGGCTCCGTAACGGACTAACTTTTGCAAGGGTATGGTTTGTCCTTTGTGTGCAAAAGGACAAGACAACAACAATCGTGCTAAGCAAACTTCTTTTGATCGCTGAATGTTGGGATGACCTGGAGGTCTCATCATCATTTGCTGAAGCTAGAGCAGTCTTCACACATATGTAGACAGGTTTGTAATCACTGAATACCGCTTCAGATCACGTACTCGCCAGTCTCTAATCTTCAGTTTCAGTCTTCGATGTTTGCTGAAGGATCTTTGGTGTGAGTGTTGTCTTATTGAAGTATGGTTTGTCTCTGATGAATTTACAATGCAAGTTCTTCAACGATCACTGAACATACTCAGTGATGATCGCTAGAACTGAAAATACAGAGACACAAATACAATGTGAAAGGAAAAATGGATTATCATCAAATCACTGAGAGAGAGGATCAACAATCTCCTTCTATTTGATGATAAGAAGATAACATAAAGAAAGTTATCTTATCAAATAATAGTAAGAAAAAGTTACATATAAAGTACATGTCCCTTTTTACTATTTTGGGATCTTTTTCAGTTAGGTCAGTCTCAGCTTCAAAAGTTTTCTTAAGTTATATAAAAGAAAATTACAAGTACGGAAACTGAAACTGAAAGCTTATTCACTGACTTATAGAATGTCAGTGAATGATGAAAGTAACATTGGAACTCATAGACTTGTGTCCCTATTACTTTTTTCAGGGATCTTTTTCAGTGAAGTATATGGAATACTCATTTTATTAAACAAAGGAAATAATACAAGTATTACATTACATGTCCAGATCTTTACAGAATGTAAGAAAAATCACTGAAAGGAGATATAGTACATGAAGTTACAAGGAAGAGTGGATTGTTGTTTACAAACAGAATCTTATCTTAGAACATTTAGATCTATGTAATCAAGTACATCTTCATGAAGGTTTCTTCGACGTAGGAATTTCCTTTCTATCTTCAGATCGACGACTCTTCCAGGCATGCTATCATCTATCCAGAGCAAAAGATACACCAAGTGATCCATTGGATATAGACGTAGCTCTGACATTCTCTGAAATCTGACTTCACCTTCATAGTCAAGGAATATAACTCCTAACTCAGGTTTAAAATGCCCAGAGTTGGGTGTATAGGGACCCTTATCTGGCAAGTCAAGATTCCGCATAGAAATGTCAACACTCTTATGACCCTTCAGGACTACATCTAAGGAGAACTTTTTTTCATGTTCGTTCCTTAGGGATGGTCCTTCATTAGGATCAGAGAGCTTTAATTTCTTCTTCCCACCCTTCTTCAGAGTTGGCCGGTTAGGGACCTTGACATACTTGAACATCCTTTTGATGAGCTCGTTGATGGTGTCCTCGATAAGTGTCTTGTGTCTCGACTTGGATTGCTGAATGGATTGTCTGATCTCCATCCATTCGTTGAATCCATAGCGGCCTAGGTAGGAAGGATACTCGGTAATGACATCAAGATTGTCCCTGGTGATGAGCATTGAGACTAGAGTACCACCGTCTTTGGATCGTCCACTGATGCTGATGCTAATGATTGGGCGGGGACTGAGTCTCTTTATCAGCTTTGCTTCACTGCATTGCTTATCCTTCTCCACAAGTTTCAGCTTCTTCTTGCGATCAGCTTCTGCCATAGAAAGAAGTTTAGCTTGGGCTTGGACAGCACTCACCGTTTTCTTGGCTTTTTCTTGGGAAGGACTTTAGCAGCTAGTGACTTGGCCAGCTTTAGGCTGTCTTCAGTCT